AGGTGGGAGGGAGGGATGGTGGGTGTGTGGCTGGCTGGATGGATGGGATGGATGGATGGAAGGAGGGATGGACGGAAGGGGATGGATGGAGAGTCAGTAGGACGAATGGATGTTGCATGGATTGGATGGCTGGCTGGTGGGTGGTGAGTAGATGGTTAGTTGGTTAGTTTTATGGTTGGACGGGTAGATGTTTGGGTGGATGGATTAACAGGTGGGTGGGTGATTGAATGTATTAATAAAATGATAGATACATCTTAGTCTCTGATCAATTTAGAATGAGCTGACTATCCCCCAGGCCGAGCCACTGGGCAAATTGCACTGGTCACTTTGCCTCCCACCTCCCAGCAAAGAGTATTAAACGTGATCAGGCTCGCTGGGCCCCCCCAGCAAACTCGCACTTCCCCAGAGGGTAGGAGGGGACAAGCTAAGAAGGCATGGATCTTGGGAATTGTAGCCATCACTCCCTCCTGGCCCTCAGCTCAAGAAAGCCGAAGATGCTTACATGGCTGGGGCCAGTCCTGCAGGCACAGGGGGCGCAGGCCATGCACATGTCCCTGGGGCCAGAGTGGTCACATCGCCCGGCCAGAAGAAAGGCTGGACTTCCCCAGCTCTGGGAAACCCACCCCTCTTTGGCTATGTGTGACTGAGAAAGGGCTGGGTCAGTCAGGCAGGAAACTTCTGAGGATCAGGCCCAGGTGTCAAGCCCCTCCCTCCCGGCCCACCACGGGTCACACACTCCCAGCCCTCTTGCGGCCCAGGCTCCCATGCCCCCCAGCTTACTAGATAGGGGTGCAAGTCTCAGAAGCATTTCCTTGGGGGAGGCAGGTCAACTGCCACACCTTGGACGGCGCTAATTTTAACAGTCAGTTCCTTGGGCACCTGTCACGTATGTGCTGGGCACTGTGACCTAAATGTTCCACGTGCACCGTCTCACCAGCCCTCACAATAACCCTCTATGAGGTAGCTAGTGTTAAATCCCCATTCCACAAGTAGGGACACAGAGGCAGAGGGCCGGGGAGCTGGCCCAAAGTCAGGCAGCTAATGAGCAGAAGAGCCAGGATCCACCTGACTCCTGAGTGCTCCCTTTGCCTGCCCTTCCGAGTCCCCAGGAGAATTTCGCAGCTGCTGGGACAGGCAGGCACCCGCCCTGGCCTCCTCCGGGAAGCAGGGTCACCCACCTGCCTCTGCAGCAGAGAGCTGGTCAGGCAAAGCCCTGCGTGGGGCACAAGGACAGTGCTGAGGAGGGGGTGGGTGATGGACACATGAAAAGAAAGTGGATTTGACAAGTAACGAGTCCAATGGCTGCAGATTCAAAAATTACTCTGACAGTTCCCAATACATTAGCTCTTCCCGTCACAAAACTAAGGTGTTTTGGAACCCGCTGGCTCTAGATCACGGCCATGGGCTAAGGCCGAGGGCTGCGGAACGGCTGTAATGGGGGGGTGGCTAAGGGGCCAGCTGGAGTCATCTCAGGGTTGAGGCCGTCACCACGTTTGGGGGCCGGGGTGACCAAGGGTCTCCCAGCATTCAGATGTTGAGACCACATCCATCTCTGGAGCACCCATGGTGCCGGGTGCCGGGCACAACTGGCGACCAAGGGCGTCACACCCAAGTGACTTCCATCGACACAGAAGTAAGCTGATGACAATATTCCAGGGAGCAGAAAGTGAAAATGGGTCTGAGAAACAGCAGCGCGGCCACGCCGGAGCCCAGAGGGCAAGGACGGCCTCCCAGCGATGACACTGAGCGGGACCTAAATGACAGGAAGGAGGCAGCTGTGAGCAGGCAAACGAACAGGTCGGACAGAGGTCACAGCCAGTGCTCAAGGGCAGGATGTAAATTGGGGGGCTCCGGAAGCAGCGAGGGGACCAGTGCGGCTGCAGAATGCGAACGGGCCGGTACGGGGAGAGGAGGGAACAGAACGGGCTTCACAGGGATCCAAGGCCTGGGGTCTGAGCGGTGTTAGAGTGGGGACCTCGGCTGCTGAACAGAGGGTGGTCAGCGAGGGCTGGTTGGGAAGCTCTGGGGCGGACAGGCCAGAGGGGACAGTGGCTTGAACCAGGGACACGGAGAGGAGCTGGGAGCCTG